AGCTCATATTATTACTCTAAAGATATAAATCGTTTTCTAACATTATATAATTATTTCCATATTTTTGTTTGTCATCCTAATTTGTAACTGAAAATATTATGATTATAAGTTTTTGTCTTTTTTATTTATAAAATTCGAAATTGGAGATGTAAAGCACTTCGTGATACAATTATTGACCTAATTTTCTTTTTTATTTATTATTTAAGTAATTTAAGTAATTTAGGTAATTTGAAATCGAAGATAATACAAATACTGAATTATTTTTCCATTTTTGTCTATTATCGCAAATTAGCGTTGAAAATATAGAATATTTTGTAATATAGTTAATCATTATTCTTTTTTATTTTGTTAAAGGTATACGAGGGTTAATGGTGAAAGTGGGCCTGGTACGAAAACTTCGATTCACGCTGTTCTGGACTACGACGACGACTTCGACGATTACTACGACGACAAGGACCCAGAGATACCAAGGGACGCTCATGTTACACCCATCCAAGGCCCAATTTTTTTAAAGAACGGTTCGGTCCCCGTGGTACCACTGTACTCTTATCCTCAATTGAACAATGGTACATTCGTGCAAATACCGGTAAGTTTGAAATACTGTGGCATTTTACTTTTTCGCATGATTGAAAAAGAAATTCTGAAGAATAAATGGCTTATGCTCCTAACGAAATAGCTCCAACGACCTTGATACGTTGATCGCTATGTGGTCGACAAACCCAATGGTATTCTTCAGATACTATTTCATGAACATTTGTCTAACTACAATCACTAGTTATTTAAATTAATGTGGAATAAATGGAAATAAAAATTGTTAAATGTTTATTTTTATATACAGGGTGTATCGAAAATCGTGGTATGGTAAGACTGATAGGAGAGATTCCTCGTGTAAAAGTAAGTTGAGAATGTAAAATGACAATACAGTGAAACGTCAATTACCCCAACACCAATTATGCGAATTTTGATTATACAAATGACCGATAGAAAGCGTGTATTGGATTACAATAGGTAGCTGTATAAATGTCTATATTTAATTTGTATGTAATTTATTTGCTTAAAAGATATTTGTAATTGACAATTTTTGTATTTCTTCTTGATTTATAACATAATTCAAAATTTGCTTCTTTCAGACCTAAACAAATTTATTTCCCAATTAATTTGGATAATCGACATTCTACTGTATTGAGTATGAACCTTCGTTTTTGAGAGAGTTGACTGTTAAGTTTTAATATTTTATTGGAATTTAATTATATTATTGGGATATTATGAGTAATTTGCAGTTTTATTAAATAAGTGAATTATTGGAATTCAGTATGTTAATTCGTACATGTTTAACCAAAATTCTCTTGAAAATGAGGTCTCGTATAAGAAATTATCATTCTACGATTTCGATACATTTTTGTACAAGGACTCACTCTTTTGGTTTATACTACAATCTTTTATACACTTTGCAATTGATATAGAAAAGAATTTTTTGGAAACTTTATTATCTTTTTGATTAAGGTAAAAAAATGTAAGTTGATAAATATTTTTGGTGATTATTGTATAAATTAGAATATTTTTTAAATAAACTTATATTGCTTTTTTAAAAATTAACAAATGTATATGTATTAGAAAAATATCATGGAGAGAATTATTTAATACAGCATAGAGAAAATTTCATAGTGATCTGGGAAGTAAAAGATTAGTTACCCTGTCATCAGGTGTTATAAAAAATTTACTGCTTTTGAAGGTATAAACAATTAAATGACATAAAAGACTTAAATGAAGATATTTGTATATTGTATTTTGATCTAGTACATCAAATTAACACATGTTTTTATTTTGGCCCCAGGGTAACTTTCAATCAGAACTGCCTTGTCAATCAGTGTGTTAAGTAATTGGATCTTCAAAACATTTATGTGATCTTTCAATTCGTTATATAATATTCATTGAGTGAGGTATTTTGCTACTTATATTTTAAAAAATTTACTCTAAAAAGTTTTTAATATTTAAGACATGATGCTAAGAATGCCATGTAATTCGTCTTCCTTTTCTTTTATTTTTATTAGAATTATTTAAAACTTTTGATTGAAGCTTTGAAATAATTCAGTAATTTAATTTGCTTTCCTATCTTTTGAATATATTTTTTTATGCTGAATATAGAGAAACATAGATGTAAAATAAATATTCATCAATGAAAGATGAATTATTATAAAATATAAATATAAAAAAAAATATGAATTAAAATAATTGTATATTATGGTTGAATGTAATTTGGTATATTCAGTATTTTGCTAACATAAAATGAAAAATGTACAAGATAATGAAAGTATAAATATAATATGCTTTTAAAATATCTTGTTTTTTAGAAATAAAAATCATCTTATGTTTATTACATAACACTGTATATTTTTTAATACATATACATATATTGCAGCATAACTAACATTACAAACTTGCAAACACAATTTTGGTAATGTATCAGAATCTATTATTATACAATATAATTTTGATTTTAATGACAGACAAGATCTCAAAAGGTAGGTTTCATGTTTATACAGTATTTTTATACAGGTATAATAAATTCAAACAAATCCATATAAAAATTCTTTATCAGAAATAATAAAGAATTGAAGTTATGGCATCCTAGAATTATTAATCGACACACAAATTATTATTTATTGACTAGAAACTCCGTCCTAAATACAATACTAACACTATGAAAAATTATAAAAAGAAGAACTAATTTTATTTTCTATAGAAAATTGAAAAACATGTGAGTAAATACCATTTAATTTTGCTCAAATTTATATATACACAGTAATGAAAAGAAACAATATATAACTAATTAAAATTAGGTATGAATTGAATGCATTTGAAATTAAAATTGAAATAAAAGTTAAAACTAAAAAGAAAATGAAAATCAAATTTAAATTTAAAAC